GTCTCTCTGTCTCTCTCTTTCTGGTGAGTGCACGTGCCCTATAGCAAAAACCTCTTCAAAAAATAATAATTAGAAATTAATAGTAAAATTGCCTTTATTCTTGGGTAATTATATTCTTAAGTCCCACGAGACTCTTCTTAAGAAAAACAATTAGAATTGATAACATGATTACGTGAGTAGACACAAAACCCAACTGTTGTGATAAGCAGCTGGAAATGGAAATGAGCAACTAAAAGCCTCCATTCATTGTACAGTCATTCCCTCCGGTCCCCAGGGGAAGCCTGAAACCACAGGTAGTACCAGACCCTATATGGACTATGTTTTCTCTCTATATAGATCCCCATGATAAAGTTTAATTTATAAGCTAGGCACAGTAGGAGAGAAAGAGCAGTAGCTAACGGTGAAATAGAATGTCAACAATGTATGTAATGGAAGTGACGTGACCGTGGTCTCTCTCTCTGTCACTCTCTCTCTTGCGCGCACACACACACACCTTATTGCACTGTACTCACCTATTTTTGGACCACTGCAGCTGAAACCTTAAAAAAGCTAAACCCAAATAAGGAGGGACTACTGTACTTAAAATACTTGAAAAATTGGAACCTTCAGGTGGGTGTGGTGGTTAAGTGCTGGACTCCCACGTGTCTGACTGTGGCTCAAGTCTTGAACCTGGTGGCTTGAAAATCACACCAGGCATGTGTGCATACATGCCCAAAATCCCAGGAGGAGAATGGAGGAGAAGGGATTACAGCATGGCCATTTCGCCTTGGGTGGGGGAGGTAATTTCTCACTTTCCCTCTGTTTCTGTCCAGCGAGAGCGTGCACCTTAAGACAAAAACCTTAAAAACAAACAAACACACACAAAAAAAAAACTAAAAAAAAAACTCCTAGAAATACATTAAATGAAAATACCTCTGTGTTTATATGAAGAAAATTAAAAGCCGGTAATTCTGGAAATAGCAGGTCCATGTACTACACCTCTAGCCAGAGTCCAGAGTTGTCAGGGCCAGAATCTGGGGGGTCATATGGCCAAATTGAGGGGCACAGCCCAACCCCACCTCCAGCAGTGTAAGCCAGCACTGGTGGTCCAACTGGCCCAATGGCCTGGGACTCTTTCTAAGCCAGTGGCCACCTGCAAACGATTGACCCCCTCAAAGTGAACCAAAGTGACGAGGAAGGAAGCTGACCTGCATCGGTGATTTACCTGTAAATAACACTGTTTACAGAGAAGGTTTTTCCATCAAAGGAGTTCGCAACCACCAGGAAGTAGTCTTCTCCCACTGAGAAGAACTCCCAGTCCAGAGCACTGCGGAAACAAGCGAGCAGATGTTAGTACGCGCCACTGAGACTCTGAAGCCCTGTGGGACAGGCACGCCGGGGCACTCTTGAGACTTCAAGTGACATTAGGGCATAAGGCTAAAGTGACAGGCACCACGGAAACAAACGAGTAGATGGTAGGGTGCAAGACGGAGGTGTTGCCAGAGGATTGGGGGTTTTGGCTTAAAGTTGCTCCTCTAATTCCCCAATTCAGAGGTCTAGTCTTATCTCCAAAATTCACAAAAGAGGAGCCAGGGACCAGAGGGGAGTGGTTTTCTCAGTCATTCCATGCAAATCAGTTGTTCACTTAAAAAATTTAAAAAAAAAATAATTGTGAGGACCAGCAGATGTCATAATGGTTATGTCACTGGACTCCCACATAGTCAACTGCAGTTAGAGTCCCGGACTCAGCAACTTAACTCATGCCAGACATGTGTGTGTGCATGCCCAAATTCTGAGAGGAGAATGGAGGAGAAGGGGTTGGGGTGTGTCCTTCCCCCGGGGGGTGATTTATCACTTTCTGTCTCTCTGTCTCTCTGTCAAGTGCATGCACCTTATAGTAAAAATATCTTGAGACCAGCAGTTAGTGTAATGGCTATGTTGCTGGACTCCCATGTAGTCAAGCGCGGTTCAAGTCCCTGACCCGGTGGCTTAAACTCATGCCGGGCGCATGTGCATGCATGCCCAAGATCCCAAGAGGAGAATGGAGGAGAAGGGATTGTGGTGTGGCCATTCCCCCTCGGGGGTGATTTCTTGCTTTCTGTCTCTCTGTCTCTCTCTGTCTTTCCGGCAAGCACATGTGCCCTATAACAAAAACCTCGCAAAAAAAAAAAAAAATTAATTGCGGTAAAATAGATATAAAACATAGCACTTTAACAGTGTTTAAGGGAACACCTTAGGGGCACTGTCGCACAGCCATCACCACTGTACATGTCCAGAGCTCTTCATCTTCCCAGACTGAAACTCTGCCCCATTAAACACCAACTGCCCCACCCCTCAGCCCGGCGCCCAGCGCTCCACTTTCTGTCTCTATAGTTCTGACCACTTCCATGACCTCATGTAAGGGGATTCACACATTATTTGTCCTTTTGCGAATCGCTCCTTTCACTGGTCATAGTGGCCTCAAGGTTCACCCATACTGAAGCGTGTGTCGGAATTTCCTTAGTTTCTGAGGCTGAGTAACTTCCATTATATGAATATACATTTGCTTCTCCATTCATCTGTCAGTGGAAACTTGGATTGTGTCCCCCTCTCAGCTATTGTAACTAATGCCGGTATGAGCACTAGGGTGCAAAAGTCCACTTTTATGAGGTTGAAATGAGAGAAAACATCCCAGGCACGTGGCCACTCCATACAGGCTCGCAGCGCCCTCTGGAGGCAGGAGCTGGAGAGAGTATCAGCCAAAAGGCTGACCATTTGGAAGCTCCGGTCACCCAGGTGCCCACAACATCTTCAGATTCACAGGTGTTCTCCCACACCGCGTGCTGGTCCCTCCTCTGTTCTGATGACAGATATAACTAAGTCTAGGAGGTTTATAAAGAGCAGAGGTTTATTCAGCCCATGGTTTTGAATGTCCAAGGTCAAGAAGCGTCTGGCGAGGGCCTTCTTAGTGGTGATTCTGCAGTCCTGAGGCGGCATAGAGCATCGCGTGGTGGCAGAGGAAGCAAGAGCTGTGTCCACGCCTGTGTGTCTCTGAGTGTCAGTCCGTGTCTCTGCTCTGTCCCATCCCTCTCCTTTTAAACCCACTGGGACTCGATCATGGGGTCCCACCAGGTGACCTTAGCTAGTTCTTGTCACCTCGCAAAGGCCACGTCTTTTTTTTATTTTAAAATTTATTTATTTATCTATTTAATGAACAAAAAGGAGAATGATAAGCATCTTCAACAGGGTCTCCCACTGTAACCTCCCCAAAGCCTTCCCAGCTGGCCGAGTTCCCGGGCTCACACATGTGCCTGGTTACGGTTAACCCAGAAACCAATCCCTGATCTACCATTATTTCCAGCACTGTGGAGTGTTGTGCTCCCACTGTGCCACTGTGACTGGGCTCGCCACCTTTTAGTCCCATAGTCGGACTGGGTTTCTGCCTTTTTAATACCGTCACAACCGAACTTCATGACTCTTGGGGGACACATTCACCTTGAAAGCAATTTTTCACTTCCTGCCAATAAACTGTGTCCTTTCTTACATACAAGTCCTGCCTTAATTTGCTAAGAGGATGTCCGGTTCCGAGATGGCTCAGTCTCAAGTTCTGGATAAACTCCCCAGAACCCCTGCCCCTCCAAGAAGGCCCACTGGGTTGCTAGTTCTCTACCTCCCAACTTGTCTTCACCTTATCTTCTCTGATCTCTGCGGTCCTACGCCCACTTTTCAGATAAAGAACCTGAGAGCAAAGCCGTGTCGCAAGTGGGAGTCAGTATGGTATGAGGGCCAGCCTGGTGCCTCTATGTCCAGTGGCCTCAGAGCTGTGGCCAGTTCAGGCCACAGAGGGACTCCTTTTGGTCACGAGTTTTTTCTGGGTGCTTCCCTGGGGGAAGTCGAGGGACCTGGCCTGCAGCCAGGTGCTCAGATAGGCCCCTGGTAGTGAGAGTGTTGATGCAGGTGCCCAGAGCACAGGAAGATGTGGGCAGTGGGGCCCAGAGGCCTTGCTCCTGCCTTCTTGGGCTATCCACAATCACATCACGGCAGCATCTGTTGATGGCGTGTTATGGCCCCCAGGTGGTGCCCACAACACTACCCACCAGGAGGAGGCACAGTGATGCCCTCAGCCTAGTCCTGCACCTGTAAGGTGCAGACAAGGGAAATGGGTCAGGGGTGGTTTCCCCTGCTCTATCCATCCCTCAGTGACAACTGAGTTCTAAGCCAAGGCCGAGGGAAGGGAGCAACCTGCATCTGCTCACAGTCACTGCCGTGGCTCAGTACCAACAGAGAGAGCACACCTGGCTGAGATCCCCTGCATCTGCCCCTACAGCAGCTCAGATCGAACTGACATCGATGGCTGTTAGAAACGCATTTCTATTCTTCAGAACCTCACCATTTGATCAAAAGGTGAACGCAGGGCTGAATAACAGCACAAAGGTGAAACATGATGCTCTGTGAGGCTGACCCACCTGAGAAGGCTCCGGGTTCACATCTGGAGACCTCCCTGAGTGCCCCTGGCTTGTGTGCCTGGGACCCAGGGTTTGCCGAGACGGGGTGGATTGTTGTGTCAAGACTCTACTGGGGTGTTCTCTCTCTCTTTCTTTTTCTCATGGAAGAAATACATTAATAAACTTGATAGAAACAATACAAATGCTCATCAACAGATAAATGGATAGACAAAAATGTGGTGCACCTTATAATACAGCTGGACATTTTTTAAAATGAAGCACTGACACATGCTGCAATTTGGATGAACCTTGAGAACATCATGCTAAGAGTAAGGCGCCAGCCATGAAAGGCCACTTAGGACATGGTTCTAGTTATGGACAGTCTGAACGGGCAAGTCCAGTGAGGCAGGAAACAGAGTGGTGGTTGCCAGGGACGAGTGCTGGGGTGGGGTTCTTTTTGAGGTGACAGGGTGTTCTAAATTTGACAGTGGTGACGGCTGCACCTATATGTGAATTTAATTTAAAAAACACGGAATGATTAAAAAAAAAAAAAACTAAAGAAACGTGCTAACACGCCATGCCTCTTGGAGGCAACCAGTGCTGAGGTGACGACTGCAGGCAGGACCTCACCCGGCTGCCCAGAGAAAGCCCCCGGCATGCTGGAGAATGAGGTCACGCCACGTGGCCAAGAAAGGGGGAATACTTTTTGTGTCAGGGAGAGCTGTGGGAATTTTGCTTTGCTTGTGTGTACAATTTTCCAGTTTGGTTACTACAATAAAAATTGGCCAGTAATTATTAAACGCTATTTGAATGTGTGGTCATTTAGTTAGTAAATTAGTACTTTGGATGTTCGATCACCTATTAGTAAATTACCCACATTATTGCCTAGTGGCAACACGGCTATACATCACAAATGCATAGCCACAGTTTTACAGGCTCTGAGAGGTTTCAAACACCAAAGGCACTTGCCTCATCCACCACTAGATTGACATCGGCTCCATAAGACACACATTTCATTCTACAACTAGTTTTCTGTTCTGTTTTGTTTTATTTTGCCACAGGGTGCATGCACTCATCTGAGACAGAGAGAGGGAAAGTAAGAAATCACCCCGAGGAAGATGGCCATGCCACAGTCCCTTCTCCTCCATTCTCCTGTTAGGGTTTTGGGAACGAATGCACATGCATCCCAGTGTGATTTTTCAAGCTGCCAGGTCCAGGACTTGAACTGTAGTCAGCCATGTGGAAACCAAAGCCTTAACCACCACGCTGCCTGCTGGCTCCATCGACAACTAATTTCTAATCATAGCTTACTCTCAAAATTCATTCTGAACTGCCTCAACTATGTTGTATTTGAAAACTGAGCTTCGGTAGGACTTGACAGGTAGTGACCTAGGTCCATGTTGGGGACCGACAGTTTCCAGTGTCCTGTCTCTCCCCACAGCCCAGCTGACCAGGCACTGGTGGTCAGGGAGTTCACAGGCCACTTGTACTAGAATCGCCAGTGTCCCCAAACTGGGACAACTTGTTCTTTTTTCCCTTCTCTCTACTTAAAAAAAAAAAAAATCAGTTTGCTACAGGACACATGCACTCACTGGAGAGAGACAGAGACAGAGAGAAAGTGAGAAATTTCCCCCAGAATGAATGGACATGCTGCAATTCCTTCTCCTCCAGCCTCCTCTCGGGATATTGGGCAAGCACGCACATGGGCTCAATGTGATTTTCAAGCTGCCAGGTCTGGGACTTGAACCGGGCAACTGACCATGTGGGAATGTGTCTGCCTTAATCTCCACATCTCCTGCTGGCCCATCCTCTCTCTATTTTGAAGTTTCTTTTCTCTTTTCTAATTTTTAAAAGTCATGTGGGCAGCATACTAGTAAGCTAACATAGGCATTTAGAAGTCAGTGAGTCAGAAGTAGTGGAGTAGAAGACAGACATTCCACTTGCCACACAGCCCCTCGAGCCCACTCCAGCGCCGGGGTGACTGGTACATCCCCTTCCAGAGTTTTTTTCTTTTTCTTTTTTGCATTTGCACAAACATGTACAGCTACAAAGCAGACAGTCACCCTGTTCTTGAACAGGATCACATGATCTCATTATTCTCCCTTGCTTTTTCCACTCAGTTCATCTTGGACATTTTTCCCTTGAAAGGTCTAAATTTATTCATTGTTGTATTTCTCAGGCTGAGACTGTGCTTGCTAACTTGGGAGGGGCTGTGACTATTTGCTGAGAGAAATAAAGAATGAATGAAACTGCAAGGAAACCTGGCAAAGCCACCTGCTTGGCCCAGGGACTGGACCTCAGCTAACCCACCAGACCCTGGTTCTGGACCTGCATCACATGGATCCGATAGCATTTCTGGTTCGCAGAGTCCAAAGCCCCACCCTCACCCCCACCCCAATCCCCGCCCCAGATGAAGTCCTGTGCAGGTGGGGATGGTGACAGGTTCTCGGCACCCAGAGTTATGCATGTGGCACCCACGCTACCTCCCGTGGCCCACAGAGCACGTTAGCTTGGAATCAGCACTGTGTGTGTGTCCCCATCTCCTCTGCCCTCCAGGTCACTCCTGCCTCAACACACCCATCTCTGTGTCCTGGCGTGACTGGGAGACACAGACTGTGGGGCCTACAGTGGTGGGTGGAGGGGGCAGGCTTTAGGAACACAGGCTGTCTGGGGCTGTGGACCTCACGCCTGCCCTGAGACAAGGTGCTGCTCCTTGTGAGGTCTTAGTGCCTCCTCCACAAAACGGACGCACACTTTCTCCCAGACTTGTTCCCCTAGCTATGAAGTCACAGCCCTGAAATGCCCAGCTCTGGGCTCCAAGCCTGGTTCCTGGAACCAAACGTGAGGCTCAAGGGGTGCTACTTGCCCTGGGCCACTCTTCCCCTGAAAGAGTGGCAAGGTGATCCCAAAGAATTGCCCTGTTACTGTGCAGCCCAGAGCTTCACCCCGCCTTGCCCGCCAGCCCGCCGTGACACCAACCTGCAGGTGGGAATGTCCTGGAACTTGACAAAGCTCTGTGCAGTGACATTCAGCTCATAGATGACAGAGTTGATGATGTAGGAGTCATTCTGGACCTGCATTTCCACGTCGTAGCTGTGGCTGTTGGCGACAGCCAGGAAGACCCTCTCCCCAATGTGGAAGACCTCCCAGTCAGCAGCTCCGAATGTCTAGGAGAAAGTGAGAAAGCGTGAGGGCCCAGGTGAACAGAGCTCTCCGTGGGGCCAAGCGCTGCTGCCTGGCCAGATGCCAGATCCATCGCACGCTGAGTGCCTGCTGCCCTCCAGGTGCCCCATATGGGCACTGCCCCAGCCTGCAGCCTCAGCCAGCTCTCCCTCACAGACACAGTGCCAAGCTGCACTCACCCCAAGAGATCATGTGTGCAAAGTGCTTCTCAGCAATGTGCGTGCTCCCCTACCCCCCGACTTCCTAGTGCTGCCTATCCTACGAGGTCCATCTACTCTAACACTTCTTCCAGAGAGCCTTCCCTGACTCCTCCAGTCCCAGTGCCTATCACCAAAACAACATCATTGTGTTTCTTCCTACATTTTCTCTAGCTCTGGAGTTTGGATGACGTCTCCCTTGGACTCCACACACAAAGCCCAGTTTCTAGGTTCTGGTACTTCTTGTCCTTCCATCAGTCACTCATCACCCTTGAGAGTGTGGTGTGCATGGGGGCAGCAGGCTGGACCCTCACAGCAACGGTGAGTCTTAGCCACCACCCCTATACTGCACCAGCTCATCTGCACGTGGGCCCACAATGAGGAGGGGTGTGTCCAGCACCGGGATGGTAGGGTGCATGGAGACACTTGGACATGTCCCTGGTTTTAGTCCCAAGGAGAGAGGGTAGGAGAGGAGCGCAAAGAAACATTTTCCTAGGGAAATACAGGCTAATGGTGGGGGTGGGTAGTCAGGCAACCCAAGGAGGGCAGCACACGGCCCAGAGCCCAGAGGGTAAGAAGAGCATGGCATGATGGAAGGGCTCCGAGGCTGATGGGGAGTGTAAATGCTCTCAGAGACCCCAACCCACCACCACAGAGGCTTCACCGGGGCTCAGTTCCTTGACTGGCAGGAAGAGGGCGAGTGTTTCTGTGGACACCAGCTGTTCCTTGGGCTGGTGAGAAGTGCAGGATTCAGCCTGTCACTTTGTACTTCAGAGATTGTATTTAAGGGTTTTGTCTCTTGACTTACAGCTCTGATGCAGAAACTTGTTAGACTGCCCCTCCTGCTGGCAGCAATTGTAAATGTGGATGCAGTCCTCAAATAGACACGACCGGATGGCCGACTGCACCATCCAAGTGTGGAACTGGTGGCCTCAGAAACACACCAGGTGAGTGGGCGCATGTGCGTGTGTGCCCAAAATCCCGAGAGAACAGAGGAGAAGGGACTGTGGCATGGCCTCCTACTTGGGGAGTGCTTTCTCATTCTCTCTCTCTCTCTCTTTCTGTCCCTATTTACCAAGCACAAGAGTCCTATAGAATAAATTTTTTTAAAAAAGAAAAACTATTATGTATGGAACAAAGCAGGTAAATGTGACTCATAATCAAAAAGCAGACTGACAGCGAAATGTTGGAATTAGCAGATAAAAACTTTACAATAACTATGATAAGACTCTATGGGGGAAAATGTTTGCAATGAGCCAAGGAATGGGGATAGCTGGAAGCTAAGGAAAATGAAAAGAAGCAGATGGAAGCCCTGTCACTGACAAGGACAGTGTCTGTATTCATAACTGCAGGAAGAGACTCAGGGATTACTACTTGGACAATGCAGAAGGAAGAAGCAGCAAACAGGAAGACAGGTCGATAGGAATGATCCGCACTAAAGTATCAGAGGAAAATGAGATCATAGCACCAATGGACAGAGCTCCAATGACCTTGGGATGACAGAATTCAGTCTGACACACGTGCAGTTGGAGTTACAGAAGGAAAGGAAGAGAGAACGATGCAGAAAAAGAATGCAAGTAAATTACAGCTAAAATCTTTCCAATTTTGCTCAAAAACATTAAACTATAGGATACAAGAAAATCAGTGTTCCTAAGGATAAATACATAAAGGCCACTCCTAAACACATCATATTCAGATAGCTGAAAATCAAAGATCAAAAATAAAACTTGGGGCCAGCTGGTAGCATGGTGGTTAAGGCGCTGGATCCCACACTACCAGCTCTGCAGTTCAAGTCCCAGATCTGGCGGCTTGAAAAACACATTGGGTGCATGTGAGTGCCCCCAAGATCCTGAGAGGAGAATGGAAGAGAAAGGATTGCAATGTGGCTATCCCCACTAGGCGGGAGAAGGGGATTTCTCTCTTCCTCCCTCCCTCCCTCTCTCCCTTTGTCTCTCTCTGGCAAGTGCATGTGACCTATAGCAAAAGCTAAAAAATAAAAACTTAAAAGCAGCCAGAAGAAAAAAAGACACCCTCAATATAAGGAAACATTGACACAATAATACCTGATTTCTCATCAGAAACAATGGAAGCTCAAAGTCCACAGAAATGTATCTTTAAAGTAACAGGAAAAAAAAAAAAACTGAACCCACAATTCTACAACTACTGAAAATATCTTAATAAATGAAATTATTCATAATAAATGAAATTATGTAGCTGTAAGTTTACTAAATTATATAAGAGGTGGTATAATATTAATTTAAAATAGATTTTATGGGACCAGCAGATGGCGTAATGGCTTCGTCACTGGACTCCCATAAAGTTGATCGTGGTTCGAGTCCCAGACCCGGTGGCTTAAACTCATGCCGTGCACGTGTGTGTGCATGCCCAAGATCCCGAGAGGAGAATGGAGGAGAAGGGATTGTGGCATGGCCATCCCCGCCTGGTGGGTAATTTCTCGCTTTCTGTCTCTCTGTCTCTGTCTTTCTGATGAACGCATGCACCCTATAGCAAAAACTTTCAAAAAAAACAAATTAAATAGATTTTAATTTTAAGTTAAACATGTATATTGCAATTTCCAGAGCAACACATTCAATGCCAAAAAAGAGGAGGTAGAATGGAAGACAATGCGACAAAGGACTTATATCCAGAATATATAAAGAACTACATATCAATGATGAAAAAGCAGAAAAAAATAAGAAATAGGCAAAAGACTTGAATAGACATTTCACAAATGAAAATATAGGAAGTTGGTAAGCTCATGGAAAGAGATTCAAAATCATAGGAAATTTCAACTTAGAACCACATGGCGTTATCACTCTACTCCCAATATTTAAAATGAAAAATACCTACGAAACCAAATGTTGACAGAATGTAGAGCACCTGGAACTCTCCTATATTGTTCGTGGGTGTGTGGGAAATGGTATAGTTATTTTGAGAACTTCATAAGTTAAGCATGCCTAACTGTGACGCAGAATTTTACTCACAGGTTTTCATCCAAGAGAAATAAAAATATACGTGTGAGGTTTACTTAGCTTTATTCACAATAGTAAAAATCCGATGGTAGTGCAGCAGTAAATGCAATGCTCTGCAAGGCTGACCCACACGAGAAAGTTCTAGGTTTGCATTGGGGACCTCCCTGAGCACTCCAGGAGGCACTCCAGTCCCAATATGAGGGGACTGAAGCTGGGGGTGGATGGTGGCATTAAGGCCCTGTTGAGAATGCTGTCTGTCTCTCTGTGTCTCTCCTGCTGATGGAAAAAAAATCCAAACTTTTAAAAATAGTCAAAATCTGGGGACCAGCAGGTGGCGTGGTGGTTAAGGCGCTGGATAGTCCCACATGGCCGACCAGGGTTCAAGTCCTGGACCTGGTGGCTTGCTTTCTCACTTTCCTCTCTCTCTCTGTGTGTCTCTCTCTGGTTAAATTAAAATGAATGAATGAATGAATGAATGATTGAATAAATAAATCTTTAAAAAAAATAGTCAAAATCTGGAAGTAGCTCAGGCATCCATCTGCAGAATGAGTAGATAGTGATACATATGACATTAATCATGACAGATATTAGTGAACAAAAGAGCTATGTAAATACTTGACAATAGCATGTTTATTGTTGTTCCTGCCCGGTGGAATAGGAGCCTTTGAGGACAGGGACCGTCTCCTCCTCATCTCACATCCTCTTTGATCAGCCAGGGAGTAGCTAAAGTACACACTCAGTGCATGTGAGAAGGCAGAAGACACAGATGAGCTGTTTCTTCCCTCCTCTAATGGTGGAGCATGACAGCTGACATCTCTGGCCAAAGCAGAGGGTGTTGAGAGAAACCAAGTACAAGGGCGGAAGGGCAGAGGGAGGATGGCGGAGGCCAGGGTTTGTTCATCCCAGGGGTGCAATGGTTACTGTTACATCAGCTTAACAAGCTCAGAAATGCCCAGCTGGCTGGTGAAACATGATTTCTGGGTGTGTCTCTGAGGATGTCTCCATTTGGATCAGTAGACTGCGTTAAAATTGGCCTTCCCATGGGACCAGCAGATAGCATAATGGCTACATCACTGGACTCACATGTAGTCAACCGCAGTTCGAGTCTCAGACCTGGTGGCTTAAACTCACACCAGGGGCGTGTGTGTGTGTACCCGAGATCCCGAGAGAAGAATGGCCATCCCCTCTGGGAGGGGGGGGAGTGATTCCTCACTTTCTGTCTCTCCATCTCTCTTTCTGGTGAGCGCACGTATCCTATAGGAGAAAAAAAAAAACCTACAAAAAAAAAAAAAAAAAAGATTGGCCTTCCCCAGTCTGGGCAGGCATCATCCTATCTGTTGAGGGCCTGAGAGAAAAAAGAGGAGGGAAAGTTTGCTTTTTGAACTGGCACCTCCACTTTCTCACTGGGTTCCTGGGCTCCAGTTTGGACTAGAATCCGCTAGTCAAAGCAGGCTTTCCAGGGCTCCAGCTGGCAGTCAGCAGACAGGACTTCTCAGCCTCCACAATGGCATGAGCCAACCCCTGTGGCTGTGCCCCTCCTACACAGCTCTACAAGCTGTGGTCTTGTCTCTCTGGAGGAGCAGGCAATACACATGGTAGCTTGCACGTTTTCCAGTCGCTGGGAGAGCTGGAACGGACACCTGGGCAGAGGGCTGTGCCCCACGCTTGCTCCTAAGCAAAGGAAAGTCTGTTCTTGGTGTTTTGGATCACATTTGAGATGCATTCCTTGGCTCTGTGTGGCAGCTGTGAGCTGGGTGCAGTACCGGCTCCCATACCTGTGACGAGGCATGCCCCCCTCGCACCAGCATGCGCCCT